TCAATAAATACATAACAATTATAATAAACAATAACATCAATAATAAATAATATTAATAATTAAAATAAATGATATTAATAAACAATAATGATATTAAAAAATAATATGAAACAATAATAATAAACAATAAAAATAATATATAATAATAATAAATTATATTTAATAATAATAATAATAAACAATACTAATATCATTAATAATAATAATGATCAATAATAATAATAATATACAATAATAATTAATAAATAAATAAATAATATTCATTAATTAATTTGCTTTTAGGCTTAGTTCCTTAATAATAAAATAATAACAACAAATAATAATAAACAACAACTAATAATAATAATATATAATATTAATATTATTAATAATAATAAATAGGCGGTTCATTTCGCTGCAGCAACCCCTGATTAATAAAAGGACTGAGCCGACAAGAAATTGAATGAATGAATGAATAATAAATAATATTAAACAACAATAATATCAATATATAATAATAATAATAAATGATATTTAATATAATGACCATTACAATTATAATAAACAATAATAATATGATTCATTCGTTTTCTTTTCGCATAGTTCCTTAATAAAATATTATTAATAATAATGATAATAATAAACAATAATAATAATATATAATAATATGAATAGTAATAAATAATATTAAACAACAATAATATTAACAATAATAATATCATTAATATTAATGACCATTAATAATAATAATAAACAATAATAATAATAATAATAATAATAAGAAGAAGAAAAATATATATTATTCATTCATTTCCGGCTTAGTTCTTTAATAAAATAAATAACATTAATAATATATAATAATAATTAATAATAATATTTAATAATAGTAATTTATATTTTAATTATAATAATAATAATAAAAAACAACAATATTAATACTAATAAAATAATAATACTTATAATAATAATAAACAACAACAGTAATAATAAATAATTATAATAATCTGTCCAAATATTAATTGATATCTGCTATTCAAAATATTTGAACTATGACAAACTATTTAAAAATGTATTTAATTCATTTTGAATGAATCATCCATAAAAAATAGTACGTCATTTACTCAAAGGCTTATTCATTGTGTGATTCACACACTTTCATCTACCAAAGTTGCTCCCTTAAAGTTTTAAGTTGAATCAAATCGATCTTTAAACCATACGTTAGCTACATTTTCATTTAGCAGTGTTTTTATACGGAGAGAAGAGTGTTTCTGCAGGTGGTTTGTCAAGACCACTCACCAGTCTCAACAGTATATATTTTATTTTATAATGTGACCGATGTGAAATTGCCACTTGCGTGACTTTTGGTAAATAAAATCAAATAGTTTGAAAACTATTTGAGTATCTTTCCGAGTATCTTTACATTAGCCATTTGCTCGTTTCCTCTTTATTGGATATATTTTGGAGCATAGAAAGCCTTATTTTTTGATCCGCAAATGGAACCCCATCCTACGCTCTTGACTCCTCCGTAGCTCTCAGATCTCATTTAATCGATTAAGCATAAATAGGGATTTAACAGGGGAGCTGAGGTATTTCTTAATAAGACATCTGAGTCACTCTTTCCATTGATGCGCGGATGACGTAAATATGTGTTTACATGTGTTTGTGCAGAGGGCCCGGTGATCTGGCGCATGCTGACCTTCCCTCCGGCTCGCCGTGCTCTTATTGTGGGCTGTGGACTGCAGATGTTCCAGCAGCTCTCTGGCATCAACACCGTCATGTAAGCCTCGCTTCACTTCTCAGGTGCCTCCTGATCAATAGGCTTAAATCGATAGGGCTCGACTGCTCTACTATTTATAGACTGTTAAGACACAATATATATTTCATTCTTTAGGGCATGTTGTGCAGTTTTTCTAGGGTAAGACACTGGTAACATCGCCAATTGAATGCCAGTTAAGGCTTTTCTAACCCTAAGTATTTATCAACTCTACATAGGAAAGGGTTCGGGATCACTTTATTTGCTTACACTTTGTTTTAAGCTGACATAGTTGCATTCATTAAACTACTGAGTGATATTACCTAATTACATTTACATACAATGTGCCTAGGATGTGGGTTACAGGCCCTGTAGCCGGCCTGGTGAAAGGGGTGGACTTTTTTTTACAGTTATACGCCTCAGTTTCCTATCTTATACGCCTCTATGAGATTTAAATACTGCATTTTAGTGACTTTTTTTTGCTGTTTGCACTTTTTGATGGACTAAAAATATTTCAAATATATTTAAAAATATTATTGTTAAATTACAGAAATTCAACAGAGGTTGAATTACAGAAACTTACCAGAAATTTCAATTGAAGTTTATGTCTGTAATTTATTGTCCGTTTTTTTACAGTAAATTTCTGTAATTAAATATCTGTTATTATACAGTAAATTTCTCTAAAATCCGTTATTTATTTTACAGTAAATTTCTGTCATTTAATAAACGTTATTTTACAGTAAATTTCTCTAATTTAATATCTGTTATTTTACTGTCAATTTCTCTAATTTAAAATCCATTATTTTACGGTAAATTTATTAATTAAATGTCCATTATTTTACAGTAAATTTCTCTAATTTAATATCATTTATTTTACGGTAAATTTCTGTAATTTAATATCTGTTATTATACAGTAAATTTCTCTAATTTAATATCCGTTATTTTACAGTAAATTTCTGTAATTTAATATCCGTTATTTTACAGTAAATTTCTCAAATTTAATATCTGGTATTTTACTGCCAATTACTCTAATTTAATATCCATTATTTTACGGTAAATTTATTAATTTAATGTCCATTATTTTACAGTAAATTTCTCTAATTTAATGGCCATTATTTTACAGTAAATTTCTGTAAATTCATATCTGCTATTTTACAGTTTCTATAATTTAATGTCCGTTATTATACAGTAAATTTCTGTAAATTTAATGTCCATTATTTGAGTACATTTCTGTAATTTACTGTCCGTTATTTTACAGTAAACTTCTGTAATTATTATCCATTATTTTACAGTAAATTTCTGTAATTTAACATCCGTTATTTTACAGTAAATTTCTCTAATTTAATATCTGTTATTTTACTCTCAATTTCTCTAATTTAATACCCTTTATTTTACGGTAAATTTCTGTAATTTCATATCTGCTATTTTACAGTAAGTTTCTATAATTTAATGTCAAATTTTTTGAGTAAATTTCTGTAAATTTAATATCCATTATTTGAGTAAATTTCTGTAAATTTAATGTTCATTATTTGAGTAAATTTCTATAATTCAATATCCGTTATTTTACAGTAAATTTTTGTAATTTAATGTCCGTTTTTTTACTGTAAATTTCTGTAATTTAATATCCGTGTTTTTACTTTAAATTTCTGTAATTCAATATCTGCTATTTTACAGTACATTTATTTAATTTAACGTTCATTATTTTACAGTAAATTTTTGTAATTTAATGTCAGTTTTTTTACTTTAAATTTCTGTAATTTAATATCTGCTATTTTACAGTAAATTTCTGTAATTTAACGTTCATTATTTTACAGTAAATTTTTGTAATTTAATATCTGCTATTTTACGGTACATTTTTAAAAATTTTACGTTCGTTATTTTACAGTAAATTTCTGTAATTTAATATCTGCTATTTTACGGTACATTTTTTAAATTTAACGTTTGTTATTTTACAGTAAATTTCTGTAATTTAATATCCGTTATTTTACTGTAAATTTCTATAATTTAATATCCGTTTTTTTACTGTAAATTTCTGTAATTTAATATCTGCTATTTTACATTACATTTATTTAATTTAACGTTTGTTATTTTACAGTAAATTTCTGTAATTTAATATCCGTTATTTTACTGTAAATTTCTATAATTAAATATCCGTTTTTTTACTGTAAATTTCTGTAATTTAATATCTGCTATTTTACAGTACATTTATTTAATTTAACGTTCGTTATTTTACAGTAAATTTCTGTAATTTAATATACGTTTTTTTACTGTAAATTTCTGTAATTTAATATCTGTTATTTTACAGTAAATTTCTGTAATTTAATATCTGCTATTTTACAGTACATTTATTTGATTTAACGTTCGTTATTTTACAGTAAATTTCTGTAATTTAATGTCTGTTATTTTACTGCACAATTTCTGCAATGTACATTATTAAAAAAATAATACTCAGTACACAAATTTTCTTTACGCAGGAGCCCAAACTGATTCAAAATGCACTAGTTGTTTATTCACATTAGCTGAACGTAAATAGCAACCCCACTGAAGTGTGTTTTCCACTTCGTGCTCTCTCGTCTTCCCTTCTCCTTATGCGCTCAACTATTTTTCCGAGCGTCATAAACAATCTGGGAGTGTGTGCTGTTGCTAGGCGACCGCTCATGGCAGAACGACAAGTGTTTATGGAAGGGAGAGAGAAAAGCGTGTGTTTACGGATCCTCAGCTGTCATTCTGGAGGATGACAGGTCATGACAGATGGACCCCAAAACGACACTCTCCATCAATCAAACACTTTCATTCCCGTCCTTCTGTCGCTGTACATTAGTCTCTCCAGAACAGGTTGAGACAGGCAATATTGCGGTTGGAATTGGCAGGTACACTCTCGTATACACACCGATGAAGCAGTGTATGTACCGCAGGTCAATATGGTAACAACATTAACTAATGATTATCGCCGTACTTTTGCAGGTGGTTGATTATGTTACGAATTGTTTTAATTATGCAAACGACGAGTTGATTTCATTAAATATTTACTCATTTGAATACATTTCTAGCACCAAAACATGAACACCGGGTGAGTTCATGAACAGAAAAATATTTTCTATACAGTTATTATATACACTCGGCGGCCACTTTATTAGGTACACCTTACTAGTATTGGGTTGGACCACCTTTTGCCGTCAGAACTGCCTTAATCCTTCGTGGTGTAGATTAAACAAGGTACTGGAAATATTTGTCAGAGATTTTGCTCCATATTGATCTCTCACATGATAGCATCACACAGTTGCTGCAGATTTGTCGGCGGCACATCCATGATGCCAATCTCCCGTTCCACCACATCCCCAAGGTTTGGAACTGGAACCAGTCTGGCCATTCTCAAAATGTTGCAGATTGAAATAATATCCCTTACTTCTTTATTTTAAAGAAAATACAATACTGATATGAATATAACGGTGTCATGGCAGTCTTATAAACAAACCCTTCCACCAAAAAAAACACATATTTAAAAAAAAAAAAACAGGAGCAAACTAATAAATCCCACAAGAGAAACACTTAAACAGTGTATTTTGCATGTTTTCTTTACATCAGACAGATTCAAGCATTTAAATAAAAGGCAAAAAGCCTCAAAACTGACAGGTATATGAAAAAGCAGTGTGCTTGCCTGATGCGCTGTTCGGTATTTACCCACAGTCCCCCTGCTCTTCAATCGTTTGCAGGCTGTCAGATGTCAATCCCTTGCACATAGGCCGTCTTGTTGTGGGAAGTGTTGTCTGTCAAGCTTAACCTCTGCGAGAAGCTTTTGTCAATACCGCTCATGGAGCAAATGTCTTGGGGGGCCGTGTGCCGATTTTATGCCGGTCGGAAATATTGATTCGGCTCAGACGAAGCCAACAGCGCTTTGAATGACTAGCAATGGATGATTTTTGCCTTGATAACACTGTGGTTACAGCAGAAGATGACACTGTTTTCACTTTTTTAATGTCCCACAATATGTGGCATGTTATTATTTTCAAATTTTTGACCAAAGCAGTAGGATGGCCTGAAATATGAGTTGGAAAAAAAAAGGTAATGGCTACACTGTAAAAAAAACAAAATAATTTTACAGAAAATATCCTTAAATTTTTTACAGTAATTTTTTGTCATTTCACATTATATTCAAAACTTAGTAAAATGACAAGCAATCTCTCTAAATTAACCGTTTGACTTTCATTTTAGGTACTTTATTATTAAAGACAAATGACTGACATTTGTGTTTTTTATACAGGGAAATTACAGTATTATTTATACAGTATTTCTTCTGTTATTTTAAATTATATTCAAAAGTTCGTAAAAATTACAAAAATTATCAGTAAATTAACAGCTTGACTGTTATTTTATGTACTATATAAGTAATGACAAATTACAGCAATTTGTCTGTTTTATACAAAAAAAATTGACATTATTTACAGTGTTTTTTCCTGTTTTTTAAGTACATTTAAAATTACGTAAATTAAAGTAATAAATTGTAATTACTTGCTCTGTAAAAAAAATTTAATAAAATCGTAAAAAAAAGGTCAAATGACTGGCAGCTACGGCTGCCAAACAAAAACCATTAAATTAAGGTAAAATGTCTTTGTTGAAAAAAAGTGCAAAAAATAATAAATCCGCAGATATTTTCATTCAAATGTTTACAGAGAAACACTGTTATTTTACAGACTTTTCCTAGATTATTACCATCAAATCAATAAAGTAACACACTAAGAGTGCTCACATGCACCTGTTTCAGATTGCGCTGATTGCACACACACAGCCGGAGGATCGTTATGAACTGATTACATGCACTTTAAAAGCAGCACAGACGCACACACCAATTGCTTAGTCTTGTTATACTGTTAATGTGAACATTATGACGCGGTTCTCTTCTTTTGCCTTGCTTTGTTTGTTAATTGTTTACGTTGTTTGCTGCCGGGACTGACCATTTGCCTGTTATTTGACCATGACTCTGGATTCCTTGCATAATGTTACATCTGTTTGCCCCTGTGTTGACT